TGATATATTATAATCACTTAGGAACCCAAACAGTCAGTGTTCATTCCTTCTGCTTGTGCATCCTTCATACTGGTGTTGTATGAGCATCCATCATGCTTTGTAATTTAACTCAGTGTTTGACTGGCTTTTGTCATCAATACTCACGACTATTGGCTGGAGCAATTCTCTGTTCTGGTTTGAAGTCCACTTTTCCTGGCCCAGATTCCCCTTCTCCTTTCTTGTATTGTTAGCCAGAGAAAAAGTTCATACCTAGAGTCAAATTAAATGAGACAGTCAGCTTGCATTTAGAAACTGGTATCATGTTTTCACTTCAGTGATGGAATTCCCTTAGCGTTGCATGACTTAGAAATCAGACTTGTAAATTAAGCCTGTGTTTATTTCTCAGTGATGATCACAAAACAAAGCTTGTTAATTTGCAAGATACAAATGTGGGAGAAACACCCTTTAGGATTTTAAAAAAAGTATATTTTACCACTAAGGCAGTTCTGTTTCTAAGTGAAAGCTGGGCATCTCATCTAGTTTAGAAAATGTTCTGCTAATCATGGTTAAAGTGCTTTTTGGGTCTGTCTTCTGGGTTCCACATAAGCTGAAGCATTGTTTGTCTCGTGAGACCAGTCTCACTTTCTCACTTTGTCCCTGACCCATACTTGCATGCACAGAAACAGGCACTGTTGTGAGCTGTCAAGTCTGACTCCAAGGGAACTGGAGGTATTGGGCAAGCAGTTAACCAACAATCCTGAATGAGCACAAAGCCTATGAATTCTGTTGGGCACTCTCAGCAGAAGCATGGGAGACAAAGCTGTCCGTCTCAATGTTTTTGAGAAGAAATATGGGTAATTTCAGAATCCGAACAGCAGCGTAGCCCTCTGTTCAGTCTCTTCATAATCACTATGAAAAATAGATGGCTCAGAGTCATTTATTTCAATTTCCATCCATTTATTTTGCAATTTCTGCTTAACCTAAATCTCAAAAATACCTAAAGAAACTTGAGAATTGTTACGTGCCATCAAGTCACCTCCGACCTATGGTAAACTAGAGATGGAGGCATTAGTATACGAATAGCCTACAACCTCAGGTGGGGCCAGACCATCCAACTCACCGTTCTGCTGCCGCCACAGTCTCTGTGCTCCCTTCCTATCACTCCAGATCTCATGGTGGATTAGCCACTCCTGGCAGGAGGGGGGATGACGAGCCTCTCTGCCAGGTTGAAGAGTGGCTAATGCACCATGAGCTCTGGAGGGATAGGAAGGGAGCACAGAGCCTGTGGTGGCAGCAGAACAGTTGGACGGTCTGGCCCCAGGGGGCCGGATCCTCATTATCTCCACCTGTGCAGGGGTATTCG